GATCTAAATCATACCGATAACTGCATAACGTTTTCCTACGGCAACCACTAAAACCTGGCTCGGCCCTGCAACATGCAGCCGTTTCACACGTTTTTGGGCTCGGGTTTGGGCTGCAAAAATCATGCTGCCAGGTTTTTCATGCGTTTTTGCATATATGTAAATGCAAAAATGTACATTGACAACAGGCTGTGTGTGTGTCTGTGTGTTCTCACTTTTTTCCACCCACTTTCAACTCGAGAATCAGAAAAGCTTGGTGGAAATTCGGAAGTATGTGCCCACAACATATGCGATCCTATTGTTTTAATATCATCATTTGCGTACGCCTGAATCCCAAGTACGGACGCCTTAAGAAAAACATGCAGATTCTTTGACGAAGAAGTGATCTTGGCAAGGACAAGGTAAAAAGCTGAAACTCCGCAGGGATATTCTCTGTGCATTTGTAAGCTAAAGATCCCAAATCCAGGTACGCGTGTTACTCATGCAAGGGCATATGAAAATTTTGGTGGAAAGCTAAAATTTCGCAAGGATATACTTTGTGCATTTGTGAGCTAAAGATTCCAAATTCAACCCCCAGGTACACATACTGCTCATGTAAGAGCATATGAAAATTACTAATTCGGTAACTAGAAAAGCTAGAAAGCCGAAATTTTAAGAGGATGTTGCCCGTCCACGTACAATTTAAAGATTTTGAATTCTACCTCCAGGTAAGTTGGGGAACTCACATACAAGCATTTGAAATTTCTGGTGGTGAAGTCCCTAACTCGACAACTAGAAAAGCTGGGAGGCTGAAATTCTGAGGGCATATTCCCCATTCCAGTACAACTTAAAGATTTCAAACTCAGTCTCCGAGGACGCGTGGTGCTCACGTACAAGGATGTGAAAGTTTTTGGGGGAAAATTACTAATTCGGAAACCAGAAAAGCTAGAAAGCTGAAATTTTAGGGGAATGTTAATAAACTTGAATACTGAACTTTAATATTTCGTATTCAGCACTTTAATATTTGAACCTAATATTAACCCTAATACCTTTGATATTTATTTAGTACTTAATATGGTGAAAATTAATATTTCATATTCACCATTCATGCACTTAACGACTTGAGTATTTTAAGTCCGGTGCAAAAACGCTTGGTCGCACTGGTAGCCTGGTGCATCCCAGCCTGGGTTTGTCTAGGCAGAGCTATAGACATTGCGTTCGACTACTATCTTCCCCTTAACACCACTATCAAAATCACAGAGGCCCTGCCCCATAAACCCATCTCTGTTTCCAACTTCTACTTCCAGACAAGGTCTCAGTTGCTTTCCAGTCAACAACCCAGCCCCCTCCCCCATCACGGTCCTCGAGATCTAAACTACCTCCTTCCCCGCCTCTTCCCCTCCAGCCCCAACCCCCAATCACTGCAACTCACCTCCCAACTCGGCTAAGCCGAGCCAAGTTTTAGTAATTGCCCTCCTAACTACTGTTTTCCGATAAAGCTCACGGTCGTACGCGCGAACTATCGCTACAAAGGCCAAGGGACGTACTGCAGCGTGCGACTGACTTACAGAAAGTACAACAATATGTACGACGCATCAAGTTTTTCACCATTCAAGTAATTTTGTAGAAATTTCTGTTCGCTGAGAATCTGCGCGAGATGAGCCTTTACCTGCAGTACTTTTCCAGCGATGTATTTGTCACACTCGTAGCAGCGAACGCCATGTTTGAGATTGTAATCTCGGATGCATAGCGGCTTACCATCAAAAGTCATGTACTCGCCCTGAAGCACGGCAGCACATTCGGAACACTTGAAGCACCAAACATGCCACTGCTGATCCAACGCCAACAGAACCTGACCACTCTGAAGTGGCTGCCCGCAAGCAGCACATCCTGAAACAGCCATCATTAGTTGCACATCCCACTAGTGACGATTTTGAGAACAAATCACTGGAGAGGCACACCAGACGGCCGATGTGATCATGCAGTTTTGTCTGTCAAGATCGTTTGGGTCGCCAATAGCAAGAATAGGTGACATACTGGTCCTCGAAGTGTTGGAAGTTAGTGCAGCTATGTGGTGTATCAGTTGTCGATGTCGGCTTCAGTGATCCGACAAAGAGCAAGCTGCTGGTGCGCCAAAAAGACCCCATGAGAAAAATCAATCACTCTTTCTAAGCACTGCTTTTACTGTAGTGGAAGCGAATATCGCTAGTATTATGCTATAATGCAAACTGGCGCAATCGTGGGAAGCGTGTCCGTAAGTGAGACCCGAACGGTCCGAGGGAAGTGAATTCGAAACAGTCATACATGAGTAGGGAACATTCCTTTAAAATTCCGGCTTTCCAGCTTTTCTCGCTGCTGAGTTACCAATTTCCCAGCCAAAATTTTCACGTGCCCGTACGTGTGACCAGATAGTTCTAAGGAAGTGAATTTGAAATCTTCTGATAATACATGAGTAAGGAACATCCCTTTAAAACCGCAGCTTTCTAGCTCTCTTTTCGAGTTACCGATTTACCCGCCAAAATCCTCACGTGCTCTGGTTTTGCTTGTGTTTACAACAAAGCGATGAAACACCGACTGCTCACCGATATGCCCATCGGTGCACGCAATGTTTAGATCGATTCATTGTAATAGCTTCCATCTCAAACCCGTTACTTAACTAATGAAAAAGTGTACTTGAGATACAGATGTGTATGATAACTGGTACCACGTTTTTGAAATCGCACTTGACCAGGGAACACACTAGCAAAATTCCAGCACCAAAGCTTGCGTGCTGCTCGGTAGAAATACCCGAATAGACGAATATGCATACACATACACACACACATATGTATGCAGACATACGTGTACACACATATACGTACATAGAAACATATACACACACAAACAAACAAACACACACAGACAGGGTCGCCGCAACATACATTTCCGCTGTCTGTTGCAGCGCTCTAGCGTTGCACGGCAAAAACGCATAAAAACGAGTCGAATGAAAAAGGAAAGCAAGGAGAAAATATAACCAAGTACCTGTTGGAGATACAAGAGGAGGCGACTGAGGCGTTGGGGGTGTAATCGGTGAGGCCGGCGAAACAGATGTTTCATCGGCACGTTGCAAAGGCTGCTGCGATTCAGCCTTAACTTTCAGTGGCGCCGATAATGCCCGAAAATCCTCGGCACACAAGAACTGCCCTTCTGGACCCGTGTAGTAGCCCGTTTCTCTCAGTGACCGTGAGCATTCTGCAACAGCACAATTTTACAACAATCACGCGGAAAGAAGCTGTGATAGCTTTCAGGCTGGCAACTTTCTTGATCTGCTCACCTCCATTTAAATGAAACCCAAAAACACCCACTGCCCCGGATCGGCGCCATCCACAGTTCACCAGAACGACATGAAATTCTCAATGCTTGCAAAAATTTCCGACCTTCACATACATTTGGAGAAATCCAGTGGCAACTCGACAACACATTTGAAGCAATTTTTCTGCAGTCAACAAAATGAACTCAAGTAGCACTGCTATGTGTACCAGGGTGGCCACTACTATGTGAGATTATGCGTTCTTGCAGACCTGAAGTCTTATGCAAAATGTTAGCATGCGTGGAAGTTTCTACTACATCCTTCGTGTACCACAGAAATAGGTAGTATTCCTAATAAAAATTCAGCTTCCTTGCCTCCTTTTCCTTGTCGGGTTCCCGAAATCGTCTTCACACCAAAAAATTTACATGTATTGTTTCCGGAATTCATACGTGACACTGAAGCGCACGCGAACGATAATTTTAAAACAGAGAAGTGGCAAGTGGGGCAAGAACATGTTCCAAAAGTTTTAGATTCTTAGTTTCTCTGGTCGCTGAGTTGAAAGTCAAAATTGGGCAACAAAATGCGAACACACACACACACACACACGAAGAGACAAACTCTTGCCAATATGCGTTTTTGCATTTGCAAAAATATGCAGAAATGCACAGCAACAAGCACCATCGCTGCTGTTAACAGACAGCAGTTGCTGGCCTGTTATTGAGCGATCGCCGCCTTAAAAAGTGAGTGCGCAAGT